GAACTGAGTGTTCGTATGAGAAGCAGCAAAGCCATGGCTTTTCCACCCTCCTGCTGGTTAACTGAAGATAGAGCAGTCTGGGGGACAGAGAGCATCAGGCCAAAAAGATACCTTCTGCACTAGGGAATATTAAGTAGATTTTGGGGTGCTGAAGTTTTCTCAGAGAAGAGTCCCGGTCTTCTTTAATGGACACTTTATTAAAATCTGAGCCTAGATTAAACAGGAGGGGAGAAAAATGATCTCTTTAGAAAGACACCCTATTCCCAGAGCGCAAGGAGTCTTTTTGTGTATTACTAACCCTTGCTTTTGACTACGTGTGACTTTTAGCCTTATGGTCGAGCTACGTCAGTGGCCCAGAGACTTATTTTCTGGGATGAGCAAGCCCCTGAACTTGTGAAGGCCCTTCACTTCAGGGTTGCTTTGCTAATGAAGACCATACATATGCTGGGGTTTGAAAGGTCTTAATCTACTTTCTGTTTGTTCCCTTTAGGCCTTTCACCCCCTTCCTACTCCTTTCCTGCTCCTGCTGCAGTTGTGCCGACAGAAGCTGCCCTATATCAGCCATCCATGCTTCTGAACCCGCGAACGCTGCAGCCCTCCGCAGCGTACTACCCTGCTGGGGCACAGCTCTTCATGAACTACGCGGCCTACTATCCCAGGTAAAGCAGAAGAGAAACCAAGCAGGAACAAAGAAGCCTTTTACAGCAAATGCACAAAGCTCACAAAAGAACATTGTCTGTCAAGCTAAAGGCTTGGGCTGCCACAACAGCTTGTTTAGTATCTTGTTCAGGGAAACAATTTCAGGGTATCTAGGGAATTCCCAAATTTTAGAGTATTTCAGGTAGCAATTTGTTTGTGGGGTTTTTTTTAAAGTTAACCAGTTAAAGCAGGAAATTTTTTTCCCCTGCTCTAACATATCTCTTGGATACATGTTACTGTGCCCCTGGTAGGAACTAGTGTGTACAGTACTCCTCCTTGCCTATGTAAAGAAGCCCCTCACCTTCTTTCCAGAAGGGATAGATTGGGGTCTATCATAATGACTTCTACCAAAATTCTGCCTCTTTCTTCCTGTAATAAAGTAACTTTTGACCTTTATAGTGAAAATTCTGTTGGTAATTTATGCTTCAATGCAGTATTCTTACAAATATGTCTGAAGTTCTTCCCAGCCTTAGCCTCCCTCTCGTGAAAGGCCTTTGGCTCTTCTGCAGGTGTTAAGTCTCCTGCAGGATGAAAACTCTTGATACCACTTTCTTGCTGCAGTTATGAGGCCTTGGAAAAGAGCTAGGCTCCTTGTCAGCCGTAAACCCCTCTTCATCTGTCAGGCAACCTGCTAAAGAACTCCAGAAGCTTTTCAGCAGATTCTTATGATAGCTTTTATGCTAAGAGAAGGGTCCAAATAGCTACCTATCCTGAAGTTGTTGAAGAGGGTGGACTCTGTAGTACCTGTTAGATGACCAAGATTTTCTTGCTTCTTTAATTTAAACAAGCATATCTGTGAGCTGCCTATCTGTTTTTTTCACTAGAATGTAAGTTTTCTTTACTCCTGAGATGATTTTTAGAATGCCTTCATGTCTGTCATAAGATTATGATAACATGTTACCAAACTCAACTTCTTTAATGTAAGATCAAGAAAAATAAAGTCCCAAACTTGCACCAGCAGTAAAGTAGGTTTCTCAACAGTTTTGTGGGTCATCAGAACACCAACTTCAATTCTAATTCAAAATAAACAGTAATTTGTACTGAGTTTGAGATATTGTCCCCCTTAATAGAGTAATAGATTGGTCCCTGCAGACTAAAGATCAGGCTCTATGGGAACCTTTCACTGAATGGGATCCCACAAGAGTCCTGCCACTGGCTACTTTGGCTGTGGATGACATGTATGTTGGTTAGACTGATCAATCCCAAGTTAAAACACCCTTTTATTTTCACCTTTTACCTTTGTGTACTCTTCTTAAAAACTACATATGAGTGGTTTATGGCAGTTACAAGTACTTTTTTTTTTATAAAGATGGTAGAATTTCCAGAGTAAGCTTGGCTTCTTTCCATTTTATCTATTTGGTATTTGGATGTTGCTTTTTCATTTGGAGCACACTTGATTTACAGACCACTTGTTTGTGACTAATGGTGGTGATGATCCTTTGAAGCTGATGTATGTTAGAAATATAAGATATGTTCTCACTGTTCAAGCAAGTTCCCATGCTTTGTTTTTTTTAAAAAAAAAAAATTGTTGGGTCCCCTTTTAACAGAGCAGTCAGAACTTTCTTAAATGAAGTTTTTTGATTCTGAAATTTAATTCAAATAAATGTGAAATTCTCAGCAGAAAAGAATGGGGTATCCTCTGTACTAAGTGATGCATTTAAATGCATGTACATGGAAAAGCAATACAGAGCTGGTGGCTAATGATCAGACGATGGTTCATAAATCTAGCAAGTGAATATTTATGGAAATAAGGAAAGTGTCTTTGACCTGCTGCCAAAAGGTGTTTTGCAAGGTCAAGTTGCTTTGTAATAGCTAATTCTGTTTTCCACACAGTACTCAACCTGGATAGGGAGGAAAGGGGTAAAAAAAATGACTTGGATTTTCTTGTATCTATCAGAAATCCCTGAAACTCTCAGACTCTTAATATTGTTCTGGCTTTGGTGATGAAGTTTTACAATGTAAACAAAAGGATGCCTTCTGTGCTGTTAAGATTTCATTAGTAGCTCACTACAGCTAAGTAAGGAGGGAGAACAAGTTATTTGGGATCTGTCAGTCTTTGATATCTCTGTTCAGCTTGTAATTAAATCTGGCAACATGTTCTGACAGCAAATCAGTGGTCTTTATTTCTGCCTAGTTCCAGGCTCTTGAGAAAAAGAACAACAAAAGGATTCATGGGAGAGATAGATTTCTTTATCTAATCCCGGATAGATGTACCAGTTTCTGCATATGTGTATTTTGAAAGTAATGAGTAACTGCAATACTAGACAACTGTTAGCATGTGCTATGGGAACTTTACCATACACAAGCTTGAAAGCTACTGCTGCAGTATTTGTAACTTTAAAATAATAAGTTTACTCTTTCTCTGTGTATTCAGTTTGGGTGTCACTTTGATCATTCCTAAACAGTGAAGTTTTTAAAACTTCAAAAATTGTTGAAAATACTTAAATCATAACATAACTCAACTTTGGGGGAGATGGGGCGGCAGCTAGGGTAAAGCAGAAGATTGTTCTTCAGTGGGTAGTATGCTGGTGGGACTCCTTGCCAAAATATGGTGGAAGCTGAAAATTGGAATGGGTTCAAACTGGATAAACTTCAGGGCAGGAAATCCCATTGTGAGTTAGTGAATACACAGAACTGCATCTGCTTCAGGAAGTCCTTGAACTCAAAATAACTGCAAGAGTATTTTTGTTTGGCATCCTATGGTAAAAGCTTGTACTACTGAACCAAGTTGGGTAGGTAAATGTGTGTGCTTAGTCTCTGAAGTCCTTGTTATCTGGAAAAAAAAAAAAGTTGGTAGTGCTTATGAGCATGAGTTTCTTCCAAAGAGTATGTAGTTGTAGTCAGCTGTAATAGTCTAATGGTGCCTAAGTTTGGGTTGAGAGGTTGTTTCCCTGTCCTATCTCTGTGTGTGCAGCTCCTTTCTGGAGTGAGTCACATTAGCATTCTTTCTGTCTGGTAGTTAAAGGCATGATTCTGACACTTCCTGCATGAGGAAATCCAGGGTAATCTGTTGGTGTTCTCATCTGTTTGCTTCTACATCCTCCTGCCATGGATTAAGTATTGTTTTTTTATTGTCTACATGCTAATTGGCTTTACAAAAAAAAATCAAGTACAAGTGAGGCTTTTTTCTAGCCTTGATCACTGCTCAGATCTGTATGAGAGCATAATTAAGTGACAACCAGTTTAAACCAGCAAAACTAGAAGGCTGGAACAAGGGGGCAGGGTTAGGAGTAATATCGTTCAGAGCTGCTGCTAATGGCTTTATTTGCATCTCTCTCTGGCTAACCAGGATCACTTGACAGAACTAGGTTAGGAAGTAACCATATATGTACTTAGCCTGGGAGATCTGTCACAGATGGAGAACAGCAGCAGCTAGAAACAAAACCTCTTCATCAGCTTTATACTCATAGCAATGCTCTAGACCACAGCTCTTAGACTGCAGCACTCACTTATTGAAAAGTGTGCCTTGGATTGTGTGAGATCATACTTCTAGTGAATGGCTTCACTGAGGATAAAAGCCTACTAGTGGCTTATAACCACGGTCCAGTAAATGGTGGTGTTCACATGTTTCAATGAAGTGGCTGAACATGGGACTCTTTGTCTCACTATGAGCAAGGATAGGTAACGATCTCCATCCTGGATTTGTCAAAAAAATCGCCATCTCAACTCTCCAGTTAATCCCTCTCACCTTCGGTGGCGAATCTGCCCTTGATGACTCACTCTAAGTGAAGGTGGCTTGAAAGAGATTAGAACAGCAGGGACAGCTCTAACTACTACTCTATTTCCTTAGAGAAGGAATGCAGTGGTAGGGAGAGACCATCACAGCTCATCCTGGAGATCATCACTAAGCACATGGAGGACAAGAAGGTGATCAGGAGTAGTCAGCATGGATTCACCAAAGGGAAATCATGCTTGACCCATCTGATAGCCTTCTCTGATGGCATGACTGGCTGGGGAGATGAGGGCAGAGCAGTGGATGTTGTCTCCCTGGACTTCAGCAAGGCTTTGGACACTGTCTCCTGTCACATCCTCGTAGGTAAGCTCAGGAAGTGTGGGTTAGATGAGTGGACGGTGAGGTGGATTGAGAACGGTGAGTGGTGCAGAGTCAAGTTGGAGGCCTGTAGCTAGCAGTGTCCCCCGGGGGTCAGTGCTGGGTCCAGTCTTGTTCAACTTATTCATCAGTGACCTGGAGGAAGGGACAGAGTGCACCCTCAGCGAGTTTGCTGAGGATACTAAACTGGGGGGAGTGGCTGACCCACCAGAAGGCTGTGCTGCCATTGAGAGGGACCTGGACAGGCTGGAGAGCTGGGCGGAGAAGAACCTCCTGAAGCTGCACAAAGGCAAGCGCAGGCTCCTGCACCTAGGGAGGAATAACCCCATGCCCCAGTACAGGTTGGGGGCTGACCTGCTGGCAAGCAGCTCTGCCGAGAAGGACCTGGGAGTGCTGGTGGACAACAAGTTGATCGTGAGGCAGCAGTGTGGCCTTGTGGCCAAGAAGGCCAATGGTCTCCTGGGG